GGTGAGGGCTGGCGGGGGTGACGGAGCCGGGGCGGAGGCTCGTCTCCCCATCCTCCAGAAGCTACTTCTCCATGTGTTCGGGGGGTGGCAGGGGGCCCCTCCAGCTGCAACACCAGGGCGGGCCCGGGGTGAGCTCGGCCTCTGGTCCGCACGCCTTCCCCGCACCCCGTGTGCTGTGTGTCTGCCGACACCGCTGCCTTCCCCCGCACACCGCAAGTGACGTGGAGCCCTCCCTTATCCCCATGCCACCTCCCTCTCCGCAGACTTTGTAGTGGACCAGATGCAGGCAGTGAAATTCGCCTTTGACATTGCCCGGGGAATGGCCTTCCTGCACACGCTGGAGCCCCTCATTCCACGCCACCACCTCAACAGCCGCAGCATCATGGTGAGTGTCGGTGTCCCGCAGCCCGGCCCTTCCCCCTGCGGCCTGGGGCAGGGCGGGCTCCCCGCTGACCACCCCTCTCTCCCCAGATCGACGAGGACATGACGGCACGGATCAGCATGGCTGACGTGAAGTTCTCCTTCCAGTGCCCAGGGAGGATGTACGCGCCAGCCTGGGTGGCACCAGAAGGTGAGTGGCTGGTAGCCAGGCCCGTCCTGCTGCTCTGCCCCTTCCTCGCGCCCAGCCCCATTCAGCCCCCTGTGGTGGATTCCCTACAGCCTTGCAGAAGAAGCCAGAGGAAATCAACAGGCGCTCAGCTGACATGTGGAGCTTTGCAGTGCTGCTGTGGGAGCTGGTGACCCGTGAGGTGCCCTTCGCAGACCTGTCCAACATGGAGATAGGCATGAAGGTGAGGGGAGGGCTGAGCAAAGCGCACCGGTCCGGCACAGCCAGGGCACAGCGGGGCCCAGGCAGCCGGCAGGGTCCACCGCAGGAGAGCCCACCACCACCCCTCCCCAAGGCACGGGCTCTGCCTGTCACACAGGGCCAGGTCCACATTTCTCATGCTGCCCTGCTCTCCCACACTCCCAGGTGGCACTGGAGGGCCTACGTCCAACCATCCCACCCGGCATATCCCCACACATCTGCAAGCTGATGAAGATCTGCATGAACGAGGACCCGGCCAAGCGCCCCAAGTTCGACATGATCGTGCCCATCCTGGAAAAGATGCAGGAGAAGTAGAGAGGGAGGTGCTGCCCAGCCAGCTGACGCTGCCATGCTTCCCTCCCCGCTACCCCCAAGTGCCTTCTTTAGCCCCGGAGCCAAGGGGGAGCAGGGAATGACCCCTCACCCTGAGCCAGCCACGGACACACGGTACAGACAACGCTGCCTTCCCTGGAGCTGCTCTGCAGGCTTCAGACGCTGCAGCACCACACCTAGGGCAGCACCTCCATCCTCCCTGGCAGCTATGGGCAGAGACTGAGCAGGAGGCCTGGCCCACGACGCTGCGCACGGCTGGGCTCTGCCACCCGTGAGGCTGGGATGGGGCTGCAGAGCCCCCCTGTCCCCCTCGTCCCCAGAGCAGCTCACCCACTCTAATGGTCTCACGTTAGGCAATGCCCCGTCCTGGTGCTCTTCCCTTAGAGAGGGAGGTGCCTCCCAGCCAGCTGACGCTGCCATGCTTCCCTCCCCGCTACCCCCAAGTGCCTTCTTTAGCCCCGGAGCCAAGGGGGAGCAGGGAACGACCCCTCACCCTGAGCCAGCCACGGACACACGGTACAGACAACGCTGCCTTCCCTGGAGCTGCTCTGCAGGCTTCAGACGCTGCAGCACCACACCTAGGGCAGCACCTCCATCCTCCCTGGCAGCTATGGGCAGAGACTGAGCAGGAGGCCTGGCCCACGACGCTGCGCACGGCTGGGCTCTGCCACCCGTGAGGCTGGGATGGGGCTGCGGAGCCCCCCTGTCCCCCTCGTCCCCAGGCCCAGAGCAGCTCACCCACTCTAATGGTCTCACGTTAGGCAATGCCCCGTCCTGGTGCTCTTCCCTACTAAGGACAGTGGGGTGAAGCTTGCCTGTTGCGCCCAGCACCACCCCAGCTTTGCGCTTCACTTTATCATTTCCATCCAGGCCACGTGGAAAAGCCGCCAGCATCTGAAATAAACATTTGTTACAAAACCTGGCTGCTGGTGGAGGGGTGCGTACGTGCACAGGGTGTTGTCTGCACAAAGCGGGCAAGGCTGATGCGGGGGCTGCCCGACTGCCCGCAGGGTCCTAGGCTCTGGATCTGCACCTGTACCAACCCTCCTCTGGTGACCGGAGCAAGGGAAGCGGGTGGGCTAACGACACCCCCTCTCCAGAGAAGGGCCCGGGCTGTCTGCACAGGCCCTGGAGCGTTCCTCTTGAGAGACGACAGGAATGGTTGGGAGGAAGAAGTGAAGATGAGTGTTGGGCACTCCTGTTCCCACTACGTGCACCTTCCTTCAGCTTCTGGGACAGGGCTGAGCCCTCCTGGGAATGGCAGAAAGGCTGCAAGCCCCACAACCAACCCCTCTCTGCGCCGGCCCTTCAAAGGCACGGGACCAGCAGTGTCGCTGTTGGTGTAGGGAGAGGAGAGGCTCAGCAGGGCAGCTCGAGTGCCATTTTACTTTTAGGCAGGGCATTAGCGCATGGGCAGGAGACAAGATGCCTTTCCACAAAAAAAACTACCCAGCTGTTTAATGGCACAGAAACAACCCTAAAAAAGTTCCCACTGATAATCCCCCAGTCTTTATGTGAAGTAATGTGGCTTTTTCACGTTGATGCCATATTCTGCAAGTGCTGGTGTCAGGTCTTCCATGGTCAGCGTGTACTTCTTATCCTGAAGGGACAAGGAGGAGCATCAGTCACAGCAAGGACAATCTAAGCTGGCAGGCATTCCTCAAAACCTTGTGGGTTTAGGGCTTTCCCCCCTACAAGCTGTGGTGACCTGTGCATGCACAGTTCCCAGAAGCAGCTGCGGACCAGTGTTTGGGGCATTAACCAGCTCCTAAGTACTGCACGTTTCATTTGCTCTGTGCCCTCAGCTGCTCAACGGACAGAAACACGATGAGCATTACTCAACACTATAAAGATAAATTACATTGCCCTCATGAGGCCCCCGAACCACAAACAGATGACGACTGGGAGAATTCCCAGAAACAACAGCCACACACTTGCTCCCCGTTCACATCCTTCCCCAGGCATCTGTTTTGGCCGCTGTCAGAGGGAGGACACAGAGTTAGATGGCCCTCGGTCTGATGAGGTGCTGCTACTCACACGTTCCTGTGAAGCGACCAAAGCATATTCCACGAATTCCACTGCCCACCTTGCTTTCCCAACAGCAGAGCCGTAGCTTGTGAGTACGCGTGTTGCTCTTTCAGGAGCACAACAGGTTCAAGACTTTCTACAACCCACATCCTCGCGCTCAGTGGTGGCAGTTTTGCCAGCTACAGCCCCAGGAGAGGACGGCTCCCCTGGTCCGAGCAGCCATTCTGCCCTTCTCTCACCTTGCTCTTATTGCGGGAGCTGCCTGAGGCCGTTCCCTTCATCTTGCAGTGCTGCAGCGCATCATTGGCAATGTCAGAAATAAACTTCTGCGCGGCCAGAGAGATCAAGCGAATGCTGCCCAGCAGAGAAAGAGCAGAGGTAATTACAGACCGAGCACAGCAACCAAGGGATTCCTGTCTGCTGCCAGACCCCACACGGGGTCCCCAGGGCCACACTCTGCCCCACCTGCTGCCACTTACATGCGTGGATCAGAGGCCTCGAATCCCGCCCTGTTGAGGTAATACCCCGTGACGGCATCCGGGATCTGTGCGAGAGAGAAGCTGGAGCAGCTCCGCGTCCCCGCGGCAGCCGTCC